AAAAAAAAAGATACGTAAAAAGCTTTGTTCTAAAAGTCGGGCTAGGCGGGCGCCTAGGCGCTAGGCGGTGCTCGGCCGTCTCCGATTTGCACAAATCGGCGGCCAGGCGGACCTAGGCAGGCTTGGCGGGCTCGGCGAATTTTTTTTAATTTTTTTAAATACAAATTACATTATTTTGTTATCATGTTTTTCTTTATAATATACTAGTCATCGGCAATGTACTTTTCTTTATTTGTTGTAGGAATAAGTTGAGATAGTTTTATTTTATAGGTAGTGAAATAAATAAAAAAAAATAAGGTATTTAATCTTTATTTCTAGTCCTCGCCTAGGCGCTCTAGATGTTAGACGCTGGTCGAGCGCCTAGCGACTTCTAAAACACTGGTAAAAAGACTCACAGCAATAGCAGAAGCAGCAAGTCCAGCTCGCTCCCTAGGATCCTTGCGGTAATAATTCCCAAAGTATAAGATTGTAGCGTAATACCACATTAACGGGCACAAGAAACCCAAGAGAAAACTGAAAAGGTAGCGTGAAATTGTAATTATTACATTAGGGTAAAGCAGGAACAAAAAAATGCAGTAAATGAAGTAATATGTGGGGAAAAATTACACTTACGAGAACCATCCAATTCCGCAGCCAAAGCATGGAAGCGGTTTATCGTATAACCCCAGTGGAGTGTCATCCTCACCTCTAATAAGACTATACTTGCCCTTTTCACGATCCGTGCTATCCATTGCTTTTCCTATTAACACATCCCGTAAAGACGGACTTGGTTACTATTTTCGGTTGTCCCACAAAAATATGCATGCTTATTTAAATAGGGAGTTCAAATATTGAATCGTCTTATCGCCTCCTTTAAGATCGCATGGTTACAACAAAATAGAATGCCTTTTTTACGCATACAGCAATGATGTTCGATTAAACTGCATGACAACATAAACAAGGCTGCCTTTACCAGATGGAGGGATTATAAAATACATAAGTTTTGCATCTAATTAATCAATCAGAAATGAATGTAAAGAATACTGCACAAAACAGAGAAGGGAGAAAGCAACTACTGACAGACAGAGTGCAAGACAACATAAACATGGACACATTACCTTCTTACTGGGGCAAAAAGGTTTGATAGCTTACTTCAAACAGATAAGGATATATAATTTCAGTGTATGACACAATACTACTACCGACCAGCTGTCACACACACAGGATAAGCAATGGCAGGAAAGAAAAAGTCAGATTGGGCTTGATAAAGGCCATTCTTAAAGCTCGAGTATCGGGAAAAAAACTGCCATAGAATTATTATTCACTTTGAGAAGGTGCATCAGCAAGCCATTTCAAATGAATATCCCAGAACAACA